TGAATAAAAGAAAATTATAGGAATAAGGGAAGGAAAAAAGTGTTCCAAAAGTGACTCAAAAGCAAAGTTTGTTTATCCAGTATTTGATTTTAGGTAGGAGCTTTATTTATGTACTGGATTGGTCTAGAGTTATTTATTTGAGCTAGATTATTGAATTGAGTTAAACATTTAACACGTCATAGATTAATAAAATATTTATATATTATTATATCTAATCTAACTCAATACAAAATTAAAGAGGAGACCAAGTTGGTGGAATGGTTGGCAGCTAAATAACCATAGAATTTGGATAAGATCATTAAATGTGCATGTATTGCATCATACTTCAGATAAGATGTCTTTCAGGTTACACACTATCATCCTTGCAGACCATTTTATAAAGGAGGTTGAATTTTGATGAAGAGCAATTCGTTTTGGGCTTACTTTACATTTGTTAAGTATTGGATTCCCCATGCATACTCATCCACATGTTTCAAATATATGGGGTGTGATGGCTTCACCAATCCGGGGTAGGCAGATACCGAGGGAGAGTGCATGTAAAAGATTTTAAGTATTGATCGTGTAAGAAATTTGGCACCGTAATGGTAAGTTTGAGAGTGGAGAATGTGTACCCTTTCCACAAGTCAAAAGATGATGTTTATAGTGTAAAGGGAAATACTTGGACAACAAGCAAAAATAATTGCCTTATTAAAATGTTGACACGTGTAAAGATCATTGGTGAATGAATAATCAACACGGCTCACTGATTGAAACTGTAGCACCGGCTTTTTGTCCTTTATGTACTGGAATGCGTAGATAAGCCACACGTGTGAGTCTGGAATCTTCTGTGGGTAACCGTCTGAGTGACACTAGCCCCAGTACAACTGTCACATGGTGACGTAATCCTGAATGTTTGTGGAATCCAAGTGTTGAAATGTCCAAGTCCACAATCTCCATCTGAGGTCTCGTGCGTGGTTGTAGAGCTCAAGCTCGGGTGTAGTGTATTTGGCTAAGAGGGAGGCAACCTCGACTCATAATGTGAAACAGTGATGCTTCTATTGATCTTATTATGCTCGTAGTTGGTAGTTGGGCTGGAGCTCAGCAGTGGTGCTGGAATTATCGCCAATCTCGGTGAGGGTCAACCTCAATCTCGGATACAGTTTTGGGCTTATCTCGAAGATCTAAGAATTGATTTTGGCTCGGCCTCGACTGGAATTGACTTAGTGTATTCTGGAGGTATGTTAATATGAACCTTGATACTCCTGGGGGTATGCGGCAATGGACCCCAACATGTGTCTACAAGCCAACACTTATTGCAATTAATAGTTTGTAATGAAATGTCCATTCACATCATTTCCTATTATTAGCTTATTAAAATTTACCTTGTATTGTGTTTTGAATCTCGATAGTATTTATAATATAAACATGGATATTTTTTATTCCAGAATGTTTGAACAACGGGAACAACGAATTTCAAAAGTTGTATTTGTAACGTTCATTTTTATCTTCTTCCCAAACATTGCAGGTGGCAATAACTCTTCGAAATAATAACTTTTAGGGAGAACTACCAAATAAGCCCTAAAACTTACATAAAAAGTGTAAATCACCCCTTGTATAGGAGGCTCTGTCCGGCCATCGCTATTTGGGCGGTTCCCGGTGGAATTTTTTAATGGATATTTTTGAGCATGTTTTTCATTAAGTCTAGTTTACCCATACCAAATTTCAACCAAAAATTCAACCGAGAAGGCAGTCAAATAATTTTCTGAAATATACTGCGTTGCTTAACTGCGCAGTTATCTTCAAAAATTCATTTTACTGCCTTCCCGATTGAATTTTTAGCTGAAATTTGGTATGAGTAAACTAGACTTAATGAATAAGATGCTCAAAAAATTCATCAAAAAATTCCACTGGGAACCGCCCCAAATGATGACGACCGAACAGAACCTCCTATATAAGGGGTGATTTGCACTTTTTATGAAAGTTCGAGGGCTTATTTGGTAGTTCTCCCTAACTTTTATTATATAATACCTCATATTCTATTTTCATACAATTACAGATTGTATTTAATGAAAATTTGATGTTAAAGTTAATATACTATTATAATAAATAAACAGAACGATATTATATTACTGAATTTTGTACCGGTATTGCACGGGTGAGAATCTAGTCCCATCAATACATAAACAAAATATATAAATATATCGTAGTCATACGAATTATTAGGTAGCAACTAGAGGAGTATGTTTTATTTCAATAATAACAAAGTACTGTTCCGATCATAGTTTAAGAATCTCATGGCAGAATGGCACAATTATTTATGTGATAATTAAATAAGGTAATTTGAATATATTTTGAGAATTAATTTTGACGAGTATATAATAATATAATGGAATCTTCGATGATAATTATAATGTTATCCGAAAAAATTGCAGGAGTATCACTACGCGTGTTTTGATTTACCAAAACATTACCTTTTTAAATTTTTCTAAAAATAAGACTTTTTCTTCCAGCCCACTTACCCAGCGGATCTCTTCTCCCGATCTCCCTCCGTCTCTTCACTCCCTTGCAATCTTCTCCCTCCCCCTCCACCATGACACGCCGCCTCCGCCATCTCTAACACTTCTCGCCGCCGGCCGAAACATCGCTCTGCCATCGTTGCCTCCCCTCTGTCCTTCGATTTTCTGTCAAAGTGTCCCATCGTCTCTGCCAACACAAAATCACAATCGTCGCTGCCTCCATCTGATTCACTGGCAACAGGTTCGTCATATTCATCTTTCTCTTCTTCTCCTTCTTTCTTTCTCGTTAATCGATCGGTTGTTCCGTCCAATTTGTGTTGGCGGTGGAAAATGATGATTGAGGTAGCTAGAGGGCGGAGGGTAGGGCTTGGCGGTTAGGCGATATATGGCGACGACGATGGCTAGCCGATGCAGGCTTACCTATGCTTAGGCTGCTAGAGTTCACACATTTTAAATCCAAGGCATTCAAGGTACGTGGTGGTTGGAAGAGGGCTGGAGTTGGGAAGGCGAGGCTGAAGAAGTGACTGGCCGTTGGGAAAGGGCTGGGACAGGGGAGGGCGCAGTTATGGGGCGGCGGCAGTCGGTGGACTGGCGGCTAAGGTTATGATGGTGGTAGGTTAGAGGTTGGGGGAGGTGGTCGACGGCGGCAGTCTGATGGTAGGGGGTCGCTCTAGCGCAGGGTAGGTTAAGGACGGGGCTGAGGGAACAGGGGACACCGGAGACGGCGTGTCACTGTGACCGGATTTGGTGTGTCACTGTGGCTGGTGGGCAATCACTGTGACCGTGGACAGTCACTGTGGTCAGTGGGCAGTCACTGTGATGGCGGAGTCACTGTGGCGGCGGAGTCACTGTGATGATCAGAGTCACTTTGACTAGAGTCACTGTGGCCGGATTCACTGTGTCCGGAGTTACTGTGGCGGCGGGTCACTGTGGCGACATGTCACTATGGCGGCGGAGTCACTGTGATGGTCGGAGTCACTTTGACCGGAGTCACTGTGGCCAGAGCAAGTCACTGGTGGTGGTGCGGCAAGACTGTTGGCGGCGCTAATGGTAACCATGGTGGTTGTGGATGCAGGAGTAACTCTTTCCCATTTTGAGTATTAAAATTCATTATTGGCCTTTTAGTTATACATAGATGTTAAATGGATTGGTGTGCCACTGAATTAGTGGCTTTGTTCCTTGGTGTGCAACGGTTTGCTAAAATTCATTTTTTTGGACTTTTAGAACTCAACTCACTTTATTAGAAATCTCTCAATTAATAGTAATATTTGAATAAAAAGGCCAATGCATTGTTTTTAATAGTATTTGAGAATTGATAATTAAATTATCATTTGAGAGTGTTAATAATTTCTTAAAATAAAAATAAGAACTTATGCCTAGAAAAGGAAACTAAGATGTCTAGAATAGGAAGATGAGACTTAAGTTATTTGATTTTAGGTTTAAATATGTTTTTAGTCCCTGCAAATATTGCTCACTTTGTTTTAGGTCCCTACAAAATATTTTATTTGTTTTTCATCCCTGTAATATGCATTATTTTGGTTTTAGTCCATCTTTAACTCCGAAACAACTCTACCTAGAGTTTTTTTATTGTCGGTTGCATAAATCAACTAGAAGTGCTTATATTTATCAGTTTATAATTTTTTTTCAGGTTAATAAGAGAGTTGAAACAATTATAAAACTAATTATTCACATTTTAAAAAAATTATTAACAAAAAATTCTTTATAAATGAAATTAAATACTTTTTGAATGGTATGACAAAGAATTTAAGGATACCCATTAGTCGGGACTGTTTCGGTGTCAAATAGAGGTTGTTATCATTAATCATGGACTAAAAAGAAAATGAACATAAATTTCAAGAATGAAAAACAAAGAAAATATTTTGCAAGGACCTAAAACAAAGTGACCTATATTTGCAGGGATTAAAAACATATTTAAACCTTGATTTTATTAAGATAAACTCTATTTGTACCCACCCCTTATACCTACCCACTCTTGTGAGAGTTAATTTTTTGGCTGTGAATCTATAATTTTCACATACAAAAACATGTTTATTTTGTCTGTCAACATGATTCACAGACAAAAAAATAGTCTCTACTAAGAGTGGATATACGGATGAGTATAAGAGTGAATATAAATAACAAAATTGTTCTATTAATTATATTGGATTGCATGGTTATTAGTTCTTACAATGAATAAGAGCAATTACTATATAAAAGTGTCGATGTTGCATATGTAGCAGGAGAAATACTGACACAAAAATTATTAATTACGGACTAATAGAAAGTCATGCACAATTTTTCTCGCAGCGTAATAAATTGTCACTTGTTTAGTCACAATGTGAAACATTGTGAGATGGATCAAGTACTACGGTATTATTTTGTGGGTATGTCACCACAGATCATACACTTATATCGTGACATGGATATTGCAATACACCCGATAACTCATCGGCCATAAGCATGAAATTCCACGTGGCACCAATCACATCCCCAATACCCTTATCCCAATAATACGTCATTCCTCCACCCTCATCTAAAATATTTCCTAGCTATTTCCCCGTTCGCACATTACTCTTCCTCCTTTTCAGTATAACGACTACAGGTACAGAGAGAGCAAGCTCCTGCGGCCATGGCTTCCACACAGTGCTTCTACTTGCACCACCACGCCCTCTCAACACCAGCTAGGTCATCATCATTACTGTATCGCCACTGTCCGATCCTCAGGCCTCACCAACTCGTCTGCCGGGCGCAGAAGCAGTCCGCCGCGACTCACGAAGACCTCGGCGAAGCACTCGCCGTCTCTCGCAGATTGGCTCTTATCTCCCTTTTCGGAGCTGCCGCTGTTGTCTCCAAGGTTTCCCCCGCTGCCGCTGCCTATGGAGAAGCGGGTACGTGCTTGGTGTTTCAGTTCACCAGGGTGATTTTCTCAGAAGATCTCAGTTTGTATAATCGAAATTATTATCAAAATATAACCATATGGACTTGAAAAATGGTTTGATTATTATCGGATGGGTGAAAAAACATCCGAGTTGGATTCATTCAATTTTTTTTTTGCGCACTACCGTTAGCTTAAGTTAGCTAATAATCTCATCAGTTTAAACCTAATTGTTGGTGAGGGGCGGTATTGCCCATCCTTAAGACTCTCAGGACGTTAACCAGCAAATGTTGATGGTGGATTGCAGCCAATGTTTTTGGGAAGCCAAAAACAAACACAGAGTTCTTGCCTGTATCAGGTGATGGTTTCAAGCTCCAGGTTCCATCTAAGTGGAATCCAAGCAAGGAAATTGAGTATCCTGGCCAGGTTCTCAGATACGAAGACAACTTCGATGCCAACAGCAATGTGTGTGTATTGATCACTCCAACGGATAAGCAGTCGATCACTGACTATGGCTCCCCTGAAGAATTCCTATCTCAAGTAAATCGGTTAATTTTCTCTGATCAATGAAATATAGGTGTTTAATCCCATGATCTGATCATTGTTTTCATTTCTCCAGGTGGACTACTTGCTGGGCAAACAAGCCTACTCTGGAAAAACTCAGTCTGAGGTGAGTTATAAAGCCCATCTCCCGTGAGATTGGCATGCAGAGATGTTATTTAATTTGTTATGAACAAAGAGGGATTGGAAGGAGTCAGAAGGAAGAGAGAAGGATAATGTCATGTATTTTCTATATATACAAGGTCTAATAATGGACCTTACATGGAATTCGAATTCAAAATTTGAGATGATAAATCTGCTAAAAGTGATAAACTATAATGAATCTTAAGATGATTTAGGATAAATCATTGATGTGTCCTACATGAAGAAAATTGTGACATAAAAGTGGGCCTCAGACTCATGCGTAAGAGAGTCAACAAAATGGACTCCAGTCACTCCATACCATTGGGGAGCTCAGGTTCTGTTCTTTTTGTTGAAATTTTCTGTTTATGCTTGGTTTGAAATGTTTAAGACTGATATAGTTTATTCTGGGTTGTTCGCATTTTACCAAGTTCAATTTAGCCCGATTATCAGTTAGCAATGATATGTTTTACTGTGATAATAATATGTTATTTGTCAGCACTGGTTTCTTCCTTGGGTAATTGGTAAAATCCAGTCATAAATTGTTTGTAATATGTCTTAGTATGGGTACAGGAAAGTAATCCTCTTAAGTTGATGACGTTTTTAGGCTGAGGTATGGTCTTTTTAGGTCCGTTTTGGTCTCTTTAAATTTAGTCTTATATGCTTTAAGTTTAGTTGTAACTTGTAATACTCCCTCCATCCCGTAAACAACTTCCCACTTTGACTTGAGCACATTTTAGTGGAAAGTTAAAGTGGGTAGTTGACTTTCCAATAATGTCCCTACTTTTTGTCAAATCAAGTAAAAAAAGTACGTAAAAAGTAAGGGTAGTTTTGATATTTTCTATGGAAAAATTACTTTTTATGGAAATGAAGAGTTTATTTTGGGACACCCAAATAAGGAAAATGAGATGTTGTTTTGGGGACCGAGATAGTATTATTTATTGCAGCATGTCTAGTGTAGTCAAGTTTAGTCCATTTAGGTTTGGTCCGGTATGATCTTTTAATTTGGTGCGATCTATTTATGTTGATCAACCTGTTTTGATTTGTTTAAGTTTGTCATCTCAACTTTAGGTTTAACCTAACCTCGGGTCAAAACAAGTGGAGGAGATGGTCTTTCTGATGTCAATTAGAAAGCCATTTTTTTTCTCTCTATAAAAGTATATAGACCAGATTATAACAAAGTCAGTTCATTGATTTAAGATAACTTAAGGAAGGTGATATATGTAGTTTCTTATTTTCACAATTTTGTCCCAGGACTGGCAAACTCGAAATATTTTTAGTTTTGGCTAAAGGGTCAAATAGGTACATGAACTAACTTAAAGTGTTCAATTAGCCCCTTATATAGGAGGTTCTGCCCGGCCGTCGCCAATTGGGGCGGTTCCCGGTGGAATTTTTTGATGAAATTTTTTGAGCATCTTCTTCATTAAGTCTAGTTTACCCATATCAAATTTCAGCTAAAAATTAAATCGGGAAGGCAGTCAAATGATTTTCCGAAATGTACTGCGCTGTTTATTTGAACAGTTATCTTCAAAAAATCATTTGACTCCTCCCCGGTTGAATTTTTAGCTGAAATTTGGTATGGGTAAACTAGACTTAATGAAGAAGATGCTCAAAAAATTTCATCAAAAAATTCCACCGGGAACCGCCCCAATTGGCGATGGCCGGGCAGAACCTCCTATATAAGGGGCTAATTGAACACTTTAAGTTAGTTCATGTACCTATTTGACCCTTTAGCCTTTAGTTTTTCTTAAAGTCTCCAAATTTACACATCGTAAACTCTCAAAATCCCTCAACAAATCTTTATATTTGTGTCAGAATGAGGTTATGTGGGTGTATGGGCAAAATAAGTGAAATCCTGCAAAAGCAGTCCCATAAGTTATGGACTAGTTTTGCAATTTTTCATGTATATGCATTAGATTGGATTGATAATGCCAGATGGATTGTTTGGCAGGGGGGATTTGATCCTAATGCTGTGGCCACTGCAAACATATTGGAGACATCAACTCCAGTGGTGGAAGGGAAGCAATACTACTTTATCTCTGTCCTGACGAGAACGGCCGATGGGGATGAAGGCGGGAAGCATCAATTGATCACTGCCAGTGTTTCTGATGGGAAGCTTTACATCTGCAAGGCACAAGCAGGTGACAAGAGATGGTTCAAGGGAGTGAAGAAGTTTGTAGAGAACACTGCCAACTCTTTCAGCGTGGCGTAAGGTTGCTCGGGCTGTGTATGTAGTAGCTAGTAGTGTTGGTTATTTTGCATTAAAACCTCTCACTGCATTAAAACTTCCCCATAAAGTATATTACATCTCATAATGTGGAGAATTGCATAATCGATTAAACCTCTCACTTCAGTACTATTGCATTAATGCATTCTATTTTAACTTTTTAAGTTTTTTACCAAGTTTTTACCACCACTAAACAGGCTGTAGAAGTTTATATTACCATCAAAGATATGACCCCTGATTGATCAAACAAGAAGCTGCAAGTAGGAGTTCGCTTTTATTGCTCGTAAATGGACAGAAATGGAAATACATAAATTTAGCAAAAACACTAATATGATTTATGTGAGTGATATTTACGGAAACAGAAAACCATTGCAAAGGAAAGAGTTAACTACAATTCTACAAAGATAAATAATGAAATTAAAATGCATGAAAGAAGAATAAAAGAAGAAAAGTAAGAAAGAAAATGCGAACTTGGGTACAAAACTGCAAATCAATCTTGAGCATCCCTATATACCAAAATGTTTGGTGTACACATTTTGGTGTACACTTTTCATACATTCATCAGTCTCATGCACACATAATTGTCTGTCCACACAGTAACACGCCGTCTCCGACCACAGACAACTCTACGGAATTGTCTGTGGACAAACAATTTTGTGTGCGTAAGACAACTCTATGTCTCTACCAATGGTGTACACCTAGCACAGCTCCCCTATATATGCCTAGTCGATGCCTAAGTGACATCATTTAATGTTAGGTGAGGTGATAAGCCATGACGATTGTCATCCACTACCTGAACGAAAGAAATAGAGTCTCCTAGAAGATATGATCAGTCAGAAGAAATAATGTATAATTAGCAGCGAGGAAAAATGATAGGAATATGGATAGTTTGGGAACATATGTTAATTATTATAAAATCGGGTAAATACAAACATTAGGGATGATGACATTTTGGTTCAACCCATTTGTCCTTAGTAGCTAGTAGTGTTGGTTTTTGTGCATTAAAACCTCTCATTGTATTAAAACTTCCCCATAAAGTGTATTACATCGCATGATGTGGAGAATTGCATAATCTATTAAACCTCTCACTCTTGTTCTATCACATCTATTTTAACCAAGTTCTACGACCACCAAACAGGCTTTACAAGTTTACATCACCATCAAAGATATCACAACTTTCTCTAGAATAACTTGGGCTCACATATAATCTGTCCAGAGTAACGCTTTTACTTTCATCAAAACATATATGACCGTGGTAAAAAATCAGTTTAATCTCAATGTTCAAACCATAAGATCAGATAATGCTCTTGAACAAGGTTCTCGCAAAGAAATATCTTCTTTCTTTGAGTGTTAAAACATCTTGTTCACACACACCACAACAAAATTGTGTAGCTGAAAGAAAACATTAACACCTTCTGGAGACTGCTCAAGCTTTACTTTTTCAATCATATCTACCAAGAAAGTACTGGGGAGAGTGTATTATTACTGCTACTTACATTATTAATAGAATTCGTACCAATGTTTTACAGAATTACAGACTAAATCTCCATATGAAGTCCTATTTCATAAATATCCTGATCTTCATCTCATGAAATATTTTGGATGCCTCTGTTATGCATCTTCTCCCAAACCAGGCAGAGACAAATTCCAACCAAGAGCATTTCCTTGTGTTTTTCTGGGAAAGAAAGGCAGAAAGCTTCTAAGCTTCTTAATTTGAAGGATCACTCCATCTTTTATAGAGATGTCATTTTTCATGAAACTGTCTTTCCTTACCTCAAACATCATGATTCTTTCTGTATTCCTTTAACCACATCCGAAACATATTATTACTCCATTCCAAATGATATTTCAGACATTACTACATTATTTCCTTCTTATCCTCCTTCAGATCATATCATCATTGAAACTCATCAACCACATCAAACTTTTTCAAATCCCGTTTTTCCCTCTCAAAATGAACAACGTCCCCTGAGACAGTCTAAAAGTCAATCCAAACCACCTTCCTATCTGAATCAGTACGTACATTTGCAGTTTCAAAAATTCCAAATGCAGTTCCGTTCTCTCTGATTTTGATTGTTCTCACACTCTTACTTCTATTTGTGTTGATGATTCCAATAATATTTCAATATGTTGTAATGTTTCTCTTAAGGATTCTATTTTGGACATTATGATTTTGTGCCCTATTAGAGAACCACTGTCTTATGAGCAAGCAACTCCTTTTCCTCAATGGCAAGAAGCAATTGTAACTAAATTTTCTTCCGTTGAAGTAAATGAGACCTGGGATGTAGTACCTTTACCAAAAGGTAAGAAACCAATTGCTTGCAGGTGGGGTTTTAAGGTAAAATTTCGAGCTAATGGGAGAATAGAGAGGCATAAAGCCAGATTAGTTTGAAAAGTTTTCTCCTGTGGTTAAAATGACCACTGCCAGAACTTTAGTTGTTGTTGCATTTATATGAGAACTCGTCCTGGTCTACATGTTGCAGACAAGAATATTGTTTGCAAGTTAAAAAAGTCTTTGTATGGACTAAAACAAGCAGCTAGACAATGGTATGTCAAGCGCAGCTCTGCACTCAAACAAGAGGCTACAAACAGTCACTAAATGATTTTTTTCTCTTTTACAAGAAAAGTGAATGCAAAGTGGTGTTCTGAGCCATTTATGTTGATGATGTTCTGATAGAAGGAGATAACATTTTGAGGAAATCCAGCTTCTAAAATATTTTCTTGATCAAAAAGTTCAAAACCCAGGATCTTGGGACCTTAGTTATTTTCTTGGTCTTGAATTTGATACAGCTTCCAATGGTATGGAAGTTACACAAAGAAAATATGTCCAGGATCTTCTCAAGCAACTTGGTTGTCTCAATTGTACTGCTAATGTTTGTCCTTTAGACACTAACATCAAACTTCATTAGGATTCAACAACACCACTAACAGATCCTACATCCTACAAAAAGTTAGCGGGCAAACTGAATTTTCTTAACCATACTCGGCTTGATATTGTCTTTGTTGTGCAACATTTAAGTCAAATCATGTCCGACCCTAGACAACCTCATTGAGATGCTGGTATTCTTGTTCTCAAACATATCTCTCAGCCAATCCTTCATAGGGCATACTCCTAAATAAATTACTCAGTTATAGGGCCGGTCCTGTCTACTTCTGGGTCTATGGGCGGAATACTATTTTGTACTTATTTTCAACACAAACACTAAATTATACTTACTTAAAATAAGAATTATAATAAAACTATCTAATAATAGTTTTTTTTAATTAACAATCTAATAAAGGTTATAAAATAAAGATGACATTCACTTTATTATTATTTAAATTACATATTTGGGCTAAAGTAATAACACCGTATCACAAAAAATACTCCATATTATTTAAAAACATTTTTCGCAGAATATTGTGAGGTGATATCATCAATAATGGCTACATAATCAATCTTTTCTGAAAGCTCATACTCAATGCTTAACATTGCTAATTCAGTAAACATTTTTGAGACATAGTCGATCGCAAATAATTGGGACGGGGTTTGGGAATTGGGAGGCACGGGCGGCCCAAAGACAATAATATAAATTGGTAATTTTGTAATTAAAAAGAATAAAAAATCTTAAAGACTAAAAAGATATGAAGAGACTTGTCTTTGTTGATTCATCAACAAATATGTTGACCTACAACAATTCTGCTTGAAAATCAAAATTAAATGTATATTCTATTTTAAACCTGTCTGAGCGGCTCAGATCAAGACTTTTTACTTTGGTTTAAAATTTTCAAATTGTCAATAAAAACTAAACATTAGGCCTTATTAATTAATTGAATTTATAAATAAAAAAGAAGCCTGCTGGCCTTATATATAAAGAAAAAATTGGGCCTAGTTTTGTTTCGATTTTTTTGGGCCTAGGGTGGTCGCCTCTGCTGCCCTCCCCCTAGGACCGGCCCTGCTCAGTTATAATCTACAAACCTTTTGTGGTGCAGATTGGGCTACATGTTCGCAGACGTTCTATCGGTGGTTATGTCATTTTTCTGGGAGGAAGTTTAATTTCATAGAAATAAAAGACACATCAATATGTATCTCTTTCATCAGCTGTAGCGGAGTACCAATCTATGAGACGACGTGTAACTGCTGAAATAGCTTGGTTAACTCGTCTTCTTGCTTAATAAGACGTTCCTGACATCATACATGTTTCATTAAAATGTGACAGTCAAGCGGCTATTCATATCGCCAAAAATCCGTTTTTTCACAAAAGAGCTAAACACATCGATCTTGATTGTCATTCTGTCACAGAAATGTTATTGGCTGGTTTGATTTCTAACAAATGAACAGCCAGCTGATCTTCTCACAAAATCTCTCCCTGAGTCTGACATCATTCTCTTTTACGCAAGTTGGGTGTGTGTTCTACACCCTCCAACTTGAAGGGGGTGTTGGAGATAGTTGAGAAAAATCAGCTTCGAATTCTAGATAGTGTGAAGTTGTTATTATTCTGATTTAGATGATTTTAACACAGATCAGATATAACAAAGATGAAATTAATACAAGTATTAGGCATGCCATAGTACGTGGTCACGGCCGCGGTAGGTTCCGGGTCCTTTAGTCGTTGTTTCAATCCTCCTCCTCGTTATCATCCTCCTCCCCCTCCTCCTCCTCATCATCATCATCATCAGCATGGTGATCGTCTACATTTGCCATGTCTGCATCGTCATACCCAATATCTCCCGCACCGTAGTTATGGAAACCATGTCCACTGCTAATGAAGGCCTCACGGTCATCACCTATATCGTCCTCTCCGTCAGAATCACGTTGTGGATCATTTGTCGGTTCCCAATCTGATGCAACTTCGTCATCCTGATTGTTGTTATTGTCATTGTCATTGTTACCTTCATCGTATTCCAACTCCGGTTCCTTGTCGTCGTCGTCGTCCTCGGAATCTAAACATTCAAAGTGTATGTACTTGTCTTCTAGATGATGATCATCTTCCTGCCGCTCATAGCAGCTGTTTTTCAAGGAGCGGATAACAGCCACCATTTCTAACAACTACGTACGAGTATATATTTTTTCTAAAGGGAAATAATTTAACGCAACTTACAATACAGAAGATCGAATTGCACTAAAGTTTTTCTTGCTTTAATTTGTAGGTAATAAGGTTGTGGATGGAACATATATGATACATGGCTGCACGGACCACTTCTATTTATAGCCCAGATATAGTGGGTGGACTCCTTCAATTCTCTATCAAAGTATTTCGTTAATTTGTTGCCGCGGGATCACCTCTCATCTTGTGGGTCCACCACTTCGATGAGCATCACAGAATTTTTGGGGGTAATAATTACATGGATAATATCATAAGGACTACTTCATATGTTCCATATTGATTATAATGTTTTTATTTGACACGATTATTAATAAAGTATTTGAAAAGTAAAAGTTGTATTTGATGTTTGAGTAGAATAAAGTGAAATAATAAGGATCACATATTTCTTGTCAAAAAGGAAAACTAGACATTCTGGGACAACCAGGCCAAAATAGAACGGATGTAGTAATACTAAAAAAGCCCGGAGATTAGAATCAGTCAACAATTCGCCGCCTAGGGTTTCTTAGGACCGGCTCCAGCTCTCAAAGCTTTGGCAATAACGAATCAATTATACGTTTTCTGTTGTTCTTTTATTATTTCAACCTTTTAGAGTTTTGGTTATAGTCCGGCTTGAGGTGAGCATGGGTTTTGCGTTTCTAGCAATGTTTAGAGGTTGTGTATTCCTCGTAAGTGTAACTGATCTAGTGGTTCATTATTCATGGTTAGCAAGACAGGTTCAACCTAGTTCTTCTGCAGCTTCAACTTCTCACCCCTTACTCCTGAACCACCGCCTCAATCAAAAAAATAGTACGCACTACTTAACTGGTTCTTCATTCTTTCCAGTGTCTGGACAAACCGATGATTCGAACAATTCCTGCTCATTTTTTGGTTGTTGGTCAAACCAACTTCTCTTTCCTGTGGCTGGTGAAGCTGAATTTTTTAGTTGTAATTTCTTATATTCTCTTTGGATTAGCAAGAAGAGCAACAAAGCTGTTAAACTACAATACATTATTGCGGGGTTAACAATCTGGAAGGATTAATTGGATCTTTTTTGTTCTATGTATCATCCCATTATAATCTTAGATTATTTATTCGCTTGTACCTTTACTCATTTAGTGAATAAATTAGTAATTTGATTTCAAAAACAATTAAATAGATATTTCTGTAAATATGAGTAAATAACACCTAAATTGTAAAATTGGAGTGTAACTTTTAAATCCATTAATTAGGAATAACTTTTTAATCCATTATTGCCATACGTTAATAAGAATATCATATTTTTATCAAAAATTAAAACATACTCTATACAAAATATGTAGTAATAAAGTTATCTACAAAGTATTCATTATTCAATGAAAATTAAATGTTTTTTTACAACGTCTAACGATAAAAAAAATTAAATTACTATTTCATACATTAAAAAAAATACTATATTTTTGCAGATAAAAAAATTAGTATTTCATTATAAAATATACTAGTATATAATATGAAAGAACTGATGATATATGTGTATGTATGAAATAAAGATGATGGACAAGAATGTGACCTCTTACTCCAGGAGACTATATTAGTAACTAAGATTATTTCAATTTTAAACTATAGTGATTAGGATTTTGTAATTATATTGATTTTAGTCAAAATTTGTCTATATACTCCGTATGATTTAAGTTGTTTTCAATAAGATTTTAGAAAGAACTCCAATATACGGAGTAAAATGTATGCATTGACTTCCCTTTTCTAAAAGTTGGAAGCAAAGCCTATAAAGTACTTTAGAAAATTAATGAGAATGATGATTTTATTCCTGATCGGAAAAATATTACGTATGGGCATAGGCAATATGTTTCCGCAATTTTTTTAGTGGAAAGAAAAATATAGAATAATTAAGGGGTGTTTGGATCTGATTCTTAAAACTGATTCTGCTCCTTCAGGGAGCAGGAGCAGAAGCAGAAATTGGAGTGTTTGGATAAAAGTGTATAAGTGATTCTGGTACTCTAATTTACTCCTAGAATCAGTTTTTTTAGAAGCTGGGGGAGACCAGCTTATGAAAACTGATTCTGATTCTGCTTCTGCTTAAAAAAAAGCAGAAGCATAAGAATCAGTTCCAAACACCCCCTAAAATCTAAATCTACTTTCTTTTGGAATTTTGTCAATCCAAGATCCGAAAGATACACGAATTATCAATATGAGACCTGAAAGATGAAATGTATCGGTATATGACCCGAATGATGAAAAACCATCAATTTAAGACATAACATTTCATATGTTTTGATTTATTTAAATTTTTATTTATTTCATTGCTAATATTTGATGAATTTTTCTTCACAAAAGTTTATTAGTTTAATTAAACTAAATAATTTTTAATTTTTTAAAAATAAAAAATTAATAAAATTTATGAAAAGTTAGGTCCTATATTGATAGTTTTCAATCATATGGGTTCTAGATTGATAGTTTTCTTTCATTCGGGTCCTATATCGATACATTTCATCTTCCAGGTCCCGAATTGATAATTGATGTATCTTTCAGGTTCTGGATTGATAAAATTCCATTTCTTAATCCAATAGCATCCTCCCAAAGAAAACGATTAATCTAAGCAGGTGCATTCGGCAACCTAGTTAAACCCTTAGGAGCTTGATGCGCCGTGTTAGCCAATCTATCTGCACAAGCGTTCCCCTCCCGTAAACGGTGTTGTATTTGGATAAACCTTTCTTCCGCGAGTAGCTTCTAGCAGTCCCGAACAAGCACCCCCATAGTATTAGTATGCTTTCCATCGCTTTGCTTCACAACTCTAGTCTAGATAATAACACTCTGAATCCACTTCAACGATCACTTTAGTCAAATCCAGATCACGAGCTAACAAAAGCCCTTGTCTAAGACCCCAAAGCTCCACTTTGTAACTATCAGTACAAAGTCACTAATACATTCCCCTTTGTGATCACGTATCAGTCCACCTGCCCGGCTTCCTTATCTTGTCCCCGACAAGAACCATCACAGTTAAGTTTAAAATATCTCGGCTCCGGTCAGATCTATTTAATAGGCTTAGCAACTTTACTCTGTCTGAACTTGTTGCAAGTGAGCACACCAGTATATTCCTCCGCCAAAAAATGAGCAATCCTCAAAGCCCGGTTTACGTCGGGCTTTAAAAGAGCACGAGTTGAGGGGGAGCATTTTTAAAATTGAAAAACAGAACAAGAGTCGGCCGTTTAAAGTTTAAAGTTCCCAGCCCTATTTAAACAGCCAATTCGCGCACCCTTTCCTTCCTCACTCTCACTCTTTCGCTCAAAACCTTCCAACTCCCTCACACTACAGCTCTCGCATCTTCTTCGCTCATCTTTCTCTCTTCGCTCATCAAGGTTTTATTCTTCTTTATTCTCCATTGTGTTTCACTTCTATCTTGAATCTCGAATAGTCACAACGAAGAAGATGAACAGGTCATGCGCAAAAATACAGAGGTGCAAGACACATACTTCGTGAACTAACCAGCACAAGAATTGAGTTCTAACGGAACTTGACCAACGAGGTGCAGGATCGATAAGCAGTGTTCTGTGCGTGAACTAATCAGATGCGCGGAGAGAACCCAGTGCGCAAAGTTGGGCCTGCGCAATTTTACCTCCATGCGTGAAGTGTCTATGCACAATGCTCAGTGTGCGAAGTAGAGACCATGTGCGCAATATGCCTATGCGCAAAGGGTCTGTGCGCGATCTGATGCACGATCTTTCCTCATGCGCGATGAGCATCAATGAGCGATAGGAGTGATCATGCGCGGACCTACTTCCTTGCGCGAACAGACCCTCTTGCGCAAACATTAATCCGTGCGCAAACCTTAGATGCGCAAAGTAGGCTTTACGTGCAAATCTAACTGCATGATTCTTGATGCCCAAAGCGTCGACTTAGATATTTTTCTCCATTGTTGATCAAATGTTCTAATATTCTTATCCTATTTCAGATCAAAATGGCAGCCAGCACCCCGATTGAGGACATCTACGCTAAAGAGAACTGGATTCCCATCCAGGCAAACAATTCCAAACTCGACCTTGAAGCGTTATTTTGCCAATACGAATTGATCGTCGCCATCCTAAAAGGGCTCATGGCCTTCATGAAGAACTACGACTATGTCTTGCTGATCTGGGACGACATAGTGGAGCAAACCCTAAGGAGAAAAGAAACCAACCTGATCAAACATCTGCCATATATGAGATGACTTTCAATGCTGGTGCAACGTTTCTGCAGAACAACACCAATAATCCATAGAAGACTATCCACTGAGAACGTCAGCACTCCATCCCTCACGTACCTCCAGAAGGTTACTGAGGATCCTACACTGGTACCTCTCACAATACCAGTACCTTTGCTGCAGCTAGCTTATCCAAATGATCCATCCGTCAGACGCTACTGCAATAAAAACAATAACATACTCCCTACATGCAGCTCAGATAAACCCCCTTGAGCCTGCCCTAGGGAGTCAACCGAGAGTTAGTGAGGGTCCTGAGAGTTCAACCCGGCCACAGAGACCAGTGGCAAACAAGACCCATGATGATCAGACAACGTCTGTTGAGGGCCACCCCCAAGTTGCTGAGGAGAATTCCCGTGATTCGTCTAGCGCAGCCAAAACAACAAACGCTGACAATGAGGGCTCTGGAAGCAAGGCTAACAAAAGCAACAATGATGACAAGGTTGATAAGGATGATTATGATACAAATGACAACGCCAAGAAAGCCAGGGAACCTCCGGTCCAAACGTGCCGATTCATTATCAAGTTCCCTATGACGTCAGATAAAGAGGAGTCTTACTTAAGAAGAACACTGAATGAGATATTGTTAGTGAGACTCGCTCCAAGCATCAACATGACGTCCCTTCCTCATCATTTACACCTACATAGAGAGTGCAAACATCAAGTAGTCTGTTTGAAGAGAAAGCCTTATTTGACGGCTATACAGACTTAGACGAGGTAAACCGGACTAACCCCATAGGTACATAAACTGACTTTCTCAGTTTCCGGGTAGAAGATGCAGCATCTAGTCCAACTGCGCATGCACAAGCCTCCCCTAGCCACTCTGCAGCCTCCCATTAGGTAGTAGTTTCAACATAGGGGATATCATACCCACCTCTCTGCCCCCTTACGGAGCAGTTGAGGATGTACATGGTGGTCTATCGCCCCAGGACACTACCCCTCCTTCTACCACGTGTGTCTAGGTGTCACCCTCCCAACATTTTCAAATTTTTCCAAGACACATACACTACTCACACCAACACCCACTAATACAGGTTCACTTTACTTCTCAACAACGATCGGAGATAACTCGATGATGAT